AGTCATTGATGTAGATATGTTTCTAAAGGAAGTCGGTTCCATTCTGTGCTCATTTTGAAGTTAAAACAAAATAAATGTTCAATCACATCGTAAATGAGGGTGAGAGAAAGTGATGAATGTCTTACTGGTATGTAGCCAGCTCTGGAAGGTGAGGCTGCATTTCTGGACATCAAATGGAAAGTTGTAGATGTTGAGAGTGCAGGCTGTGACCACCTGGATGGGCTTGTAGTTGCGCACCAGACCGTCATGTGTCACGTAGACGTAAGGTATGTCTGGAGACTTCCCCACATCTACGCTGCAAGTCAGAGACAAACATGTCAACAACAACTTGTTGAGAAGCAAAGACGGATGCTGATGGAATATTAGAAGGAGCAGAAGCGATGGTGTCAACAGAAGCAGTTCTTACAACTCATTGATGAGGATGTCAGGCACCCACACATTAGTAGTAGGTATAGAAACCTGTTTGACTTCATCAAAGTCTTCTGGGTTCCACACCAGGAATTCATCCGTCCATGACTAAAGTATTGTCGACAGGAAGAAGCTAAATTAGTGATGATTTGATATGGATTTTTGCAGGATAGAGTGTAAACACATATAATAATAGTGTTTCAGTAACAGATGTTATATTTAGACTGTAAAGACAGCTGGTTTTGAAGAGGAATAAGATGCACAAATATCGCACAGTTAAAACCTTACAAATTTACAAATGTAATCAGAAATTACACTGAGTTTGCTATTATAATTATAAGAAATTAGTTTAATGGATCAAATATTTGATAGTGTAATAATGCAGTAAATAAAAGTAGCTGTGTTCCTGATGTAGCGTCTATGGGGCAACTTACAGTACATGTTGTGATGTTTGGAAATTCTTTTGTCTTACCTGTCTGTACCACACATACGTTGTTAACACCTGGTTCTTCTCATCCTGTAGTGGAATAGAAGACATCAGAGTTTTAGAAAAAATAATTTAAAAATTGTATTTGAATAAATCAATTTATTTTATATTGTGCTGATTGCATATTTAAAGAACATTTAAATGTAACACACGCACATCAATCGGATTATTTTTTTAATAAAGCTTCAAATGAATAGTTCAAGAATATGCTCTGATGTATTACAAACACTTAATAGTTGGGATGCATCAATACTAACGTTGGATATTGTGCCGAAATACAGACCCAAATGCTGGATTCCATATTGGTGACAATGGAGCAGATCTATTCAATTCAAGTGTTTGTTTACATACTATATTCATTTTATACTGGAATTTTAATTCCTGTATACATTTTGACCAATTAGTTGCTACATTTATCATTACAGATTCAACCCCACCATAAAACGCTGATTAATATACCGTATGCCTTTCAAAGACCAGCCGACAGACCTGAAAAAACAACAACCAATTTTTTCCACAGGGACCGTAGGAGGTTAATCCATTCGTTCTGCTGTTTTAATATAAGTGCTACTAATCAAATATAAGCCTCTACAGCCTCAATGAGGTTTGTACGTTTGTATGTGTAATGCAAATAATTATGCAGATGGAATATAGAACAATAATTAAAGGAGTCATGGTATGCACAGTAGATGATATACAGTACATAAAACTGCATCGTAGTTCACTGTTGGCAGGTTAGGGTAACATTCAGGAAGTGTGTAACTCACCACATTGAGGATGGAGTAAACCATGAGGTCTATGGCCACTAGAGTGGACGTCCTCCAGTCTTTCACTGGTCTCACTCCCTTCTTATAACCCGCATTCAAAAACTCAGATAGCCGCACTAATGTGGCGTTGGCAAATCTTCCTGGGCTGCTGCCCAGTTTCTTCACTGAAAACGTATATAAAATATTAAATCATGTTATGTGCACTGACATGGAGAAGTCAAACATAGTGTTTATCTCATATTGTCAGCGAGAGATATAAGACAACATCTTGGTTTTAATATAATAATGCCAATGTCAAATTAACTAAAATGATTCCGTCTTGTAAACTATGATTCGAACAATTTTTCTAATATGTGAGTAATATTTAAGCAATTACCTTTAATATTGCAGTCAGACCACAGAGTCAAAATAATATATATTAATATACACCTTTTCTCAGACATTTAAAGGGCTTATGACTCAAATTTTGCTGACAAGTAAGAGTTAAGGGACTTTGTCATGATAAGGTAGGCCAACAGTCAAGTATTTGAAAGCATATATTGTAGTAAAACAGAAGCTGCTGTACCTGTGCAGGCTCTCGATGCTCCTTGAATAAGAAGGAAAATGAGTGCAGTCCAGGCTGATGACAGTCTCATCTTGCCAGTTCACCTGTGTTTTCTTCCCCCACTGTGGAAGGCTGACTGCTGCTCTGATGAAAGGCCACGGGATGCCTCACACCCATATCCTCCATATCCATCCACTTTATCCATAACTTCGCTCGCATCCACTTTCAAAACCTTGTTAGCGTCACTCAGCTCCTGAGGGTGTAGCCATCTGAGCTGACGCCACTCCTCCGTGTTCAATAAAGCACCCGCTCTCAGAGATAAATGGAGCTGAAAGACTGCAGAAATGAAAGCTAGTGACCGGATCGTATGTCACGTCTGAGTGATCATCTAATTAAGTAGTATGCCAACATCAGGCCAGTATGTTATAGTGATTTAGCACAATTAAGAGACTGTTAGGCAAGAGTGTCAACTAACTTACTGACAGCAAAGTTTCAGCGTTTAATGTCCTCTATCACTTAAAACATAGTTTCCTGCCTTACTCTACTTAATGCTGAGATCCCAAATATTGAAGGTTGCCATTATTGAAAGGAAATTATTTGATCAAATGAGATTTAGTTTGCCAGTTGTGTGCTCACCAACAACATTTGAATAAAAGAACTCCACTGACAAATACACAACCTGGCCAAAAGTATGTAGACGCCTGAACATCCCTGCCATATGTGACAGCTGAACATGTATTCTATGGGCATTCATATGCTGCAATAACAGCCTCCCCTCTTTGAGGAAGGCTTTCCACAAGACTTTGGAACCTGGTTGTAGAGAGTTGCTACCACTCAGTTGCTAGAGCATCAGTGAGGTCGGCCGATAAGACCTGATTTGCGGTCAGCTTCTTGTTTATTTGAGTAATGGCAGCAGTTTCCACTCTTGTTTTACTCACTATCAAAGGATACCAGTATGAGGGAATTTGCACTTGTTTATCTAGAGGGTTGTTTTACACCTGACCATGCTTTCTTTGGATTTGTTTGTGCCTGGCTGAATAGCTAATGTACAGAAACATCCCAGAAGAACTGAGAATCATCCCCCCATATACCGTCCATTCCGTCTGTAAAGCTCCGATGCCAAAATTTTCATACAGATGTATTTGGTGGCCTACTTTTTCAGCTTCCCACAGTGCAATTAACATGAACATGAACACTGCAGCCTCTGAGGGCTCATAGCTGTCTTCCAAAATGTTTATACAGATCGTTTTATCATGACTTGGTGTAAATCAGAAATATGAATAGACAGGTTTCTGGTTGGTTTGACTTTGTGAGGCTTTTATTGTCACTTCTGTTCTGTATTATCTTCACAAAACAATACACTTACGGGATTGTCTTTTATTTCTAAAGAACAGATGCAGTCATATTGAGATGAAAGTCACATTCACAACAATGTAAATACACAAAGCTTTGAACTTAATATACAGCCATTTGTTACCTCATACAGACAGTAACAGAGTACTGACTGAACATTTATCTTCAGCTTAGTTGCATAACATCATGTAACCAGATCCACTGGAAGACGAGGTTCGCAGATACTGTGAAAATTGCATTAATATGGATCTTTCCACCGGCAAGTTTGCTATGACGCACGTTTGATATTCTAGTCATGACTATTAGGAAACCAACAGGGAATGGAGACACAGCAGCTGAGCTCTGAATGGGTTTTATTGATCTATTTTGTGGCAGTGGGATGGAGATTAAAGTGTGAATACAGTATCATAGCATCACACTGGCACACTGGAGGATTTTCTCCAGAGAGCTGCTTTATTATACGGTATCTTTGAGTCAATCTTCACTGTCGGGAATTCATGATAACCGATAAGAAACAATCATGTCTCAAACTATAATGTTGCTCTACAGCGGCAATGCAATATCTGGAGGTTAGGCGAGCAGTATATATAAAGGATAGGTCTATTTTCAGACAACTTGAATTGTATTGTTGTAGTTTTGGCAATCAGTATTGGTTATAGTCCAATAGCTGAGATTTGGGAAACATGATGACATTGCAAAAAAAAGGTGAGAAGGCACGAAACATGATCAGATAAGACATATGCCAAACATTTATTTAAAAGATCAATTAAAGGCAAACAGTAAAGTGATTACCCAAATTATCCATTGTACACATTCATCATAGTTTACAGGTGGATTTCATGCTTCAACTTTGACCTGCTGTAATCATCAGTCATGAATGTTCAATGACATGAGAAGGAAGTTGGGGTGTTGGAGGGATTTGCACAACAATCAACATTTGCATTAGAGAATTAGAAGAGTAATAGACCTGGTTTATAAAGGCCACCTAAAACTTGTATTAATATGATACAATGGTAGTTACAAAATGCATGTGCAATGTAGGTGCTCTGCCTGAACTTCATTTATATTCTGGTTTGTTTACAACCTGATCAATATTCTGATTGCTAGTGTTTCTCACACCTTCTCTTTTGATTAGCGCAAAGTTACCACTACTACAAAACACACAAAAATAAGACCTTAATTGTAATGAAACAGTATATTTTAAAGGCATTGGTTAAATATTGGCACACAATATAAAGTGTATCCTGTTCTATGTAATTCTAATTAATAACCTAAGGGAAATTAATTATGACCAAAATACACTTGTCTGCAATAATAATTCTCCATCCCTTTCTTTGCATTGAAACATACTTTGGCTTCTCCAAATCACTGTAAAAAAAACATCATAAGCCAGAAGTTCTTTCACAGTATTCAAATAATCATTAAGTCTCTGATAATGCGGTCAGGCAAAGCTCCAACTGGCCCAGAGCATCAGCAGCGTACTGGCATACGAGGCCAGAACCAAGAGGTAGAAGCGGAACAGGAAGCAGTCGAGCTTCGAGCAAAGGGCCAGCCATTCAGCCTGAACCGAAGACTCACTGTCCTCCTGGGATAAAGCCAGGTGGAGGGAAACCAGCTCCTGGAGAAGCCACTCCAGCCCAGATGGAGCATCCTGGATCTCATTCAGGGACAGCAGATCTTCCTCCAGTGAGGGTTCAAACTCATAATCTGGTTTGAAATGTCAACAATATGAATATAGATGCAGGCAGGTTCTCTAATTACATTTGTAAGCAATTGAAAGCAATCATTATGGGACAGTATTAATATCCCTGACATCAATATTGTGATCCTTTCCAAAAGGCTTTCACCAGACTGGACGAAAAACAGCTCTCCCCCCCCCCCCCCCCTTTATCTTTAATGGAAAGCTTTCAGATGGAATATATCAGAGAGATAAATAATTGCACAACAACTCTGACTTTGCAACTCTTTTTAAGAGAGTCTTACAGATACTTTTGTAAAGTCTCCACAAGCTGAAGTATACGATGAGTTTAAGGACATCTTAGCCTTAAGATGATTTCATAATATTAAGGTGGTTGCACAGCTTCATATGACCAAACAGTTCCAAGACTGCGGTATTATTTATTTTGCCTTCATATTCAAGGTTAGAAATCATTCCAAGTTTGAACTTTCTAAAATGCCTCGGCTGTGTTCTTTCACTCTTCAAACTGTGTTTTTTGCAAACAGACCTTTTGATTTGGTGAAGCATTAAGCAAAAACACACTGTGCTATCACTGTGCTAGCACTGTGTCAGCGGGACTTCTGCAACATCAAACGTCTTTGAGCTCGTAGCTTACCTCCGGAGGGGTTGATGTGATCGAGGGTCCTAATGGAGGTTAAAGCGCTCTCTGTGAAGCCATGAGCAGCTGAGCCGTACTTGTCCAGCAGGCAGGCAGACACTGACATTTGCCTGACCTCCTTCTCACTGTGGTGGAGCAGCTTCACCACCAGAATAGACTTGATCAGGCTGAGCATCAGCATGGCCATGCACACGGCGAAGAACACGCCTGGGTGGAGATGGGAGGGAAAACAGAAAACGCTTGTTGCACAATAGCTAGATTACGGCATTTGGGAATTTGAACTATCGCCTTTCTGGTTGCAATAACTGTCAAATGTACAGAAGCAGTAAAAACTGTACTGTCCATTTTATGTTGTACATGTATACCAAACAATTGAGTCTACAACAAAGCAAAATGAATATAAGGATTAAACTGAAATGATCTAAGCAGCAAACACCACCTATGAGTGGAGTATTGACCGCTGTGGCGGGCAGTTCATCTGTCAGGTTGACTCGGAAGAGGGTGTAGCCCAGGAGTATGCTGATCTTAAAGGCTATGCGGGTACCGCTGCTTAGAGGCAGGTAGAAGCTGATCACATCTACCAGCATGAGGAAGATGCTGGGGATGAGCAGACCCACCACATACAGCAGGGGGCGCCGGCGGATCAACACCTGAATGAAAGATGAGGGCAAAGAGGCAGTAATCTGATAAAGACACTATAGCAGAAATAATATTATTTATTCAATCTAATGTTCCCTCTTGTTGTCTAGCCATGCAGATAGTGTTGCTTTCATTTGTCTTAGTTTTGATCTTTCTTCAAACAGATCTTTCTTGAGTTCAGTTAAAATCAACATTTCTTTATGATCTGGAATGGAACAAAAGCATTTTCCATCAGAAACCCCTTTCATATGACATGTCTATCCTTTAGCACCAAAACTGCCACAACGTAACAATATCCCAGTGAGCCATGAAATGCTCCATTATCAGACAGCCTTTCGCTCTTTCAGCTGAATAAATAGCAGCCATCCCTGCTCTCCACCTGCAATGGGCAATGGGGCCATTTCCCTCACCACTAACAAGAAGTCCATTGATCAGGCAGCCACTGAGACAGTCTCATTATGGTTGCTCACCCTCCCCTGTCTATCAGCCTCCCTCTCTATCTGTCTCTTTACTTGCCACAAACAGCCTCCCTCCCATCATTTGGCATTAGCCCACTAGCCCGATCCATGAAGGTCTCGGCCAATTGCTTTACACTTTACAATTCCGCCGCACAGCGTGGAGGGGGGCAACCCACAGAGCGGCTACAGTTTAGAGCTCACCATCGATAAGCAATCACAGTGCAGACACACTCTCTGACATTACTTTAACCCCCTTATTCAAATCTATTCCCCCTGCGTTAATGTGCTGAATGAGCACGATTGAGACATTGAGGCACATACGTTGAACTGGATGTGGGCGTAGTCGGTGTCGTCTTGGTGGATTTGCCAGTAGCTTGAAGGAATGGACAACAGTTCCCATTCTCCGTCATTCATAAACTCCCTCTTGTCATTAGCAATGGCCTCTGCACTCCTCCACAGCGCCAGGTCTATTTCCTTCACTGCAAGAGAGAGAGAGATAATGAAGGATGAAAAGGAAAGCAGTAAATATATTTTATCATCAGCACACAGATGGTGTGTTTGTATGGATTTCTTCCTGGTACTTCAGTTTTCCCTACCCTGTCCAATAACATGCAAACAAGGTGAATTGGAAATTGTATCTATTTCATTAAGTTGGAAAGTGCTTTCTGAGGGCGAGGTAAAGTGGCTTTTTTTGCCACCTAAAAAAAAATCGGTATCAGTGAAATTGTGTGCTATATTTAGAATATTTTCATCATTTTAACTTTCTGTCAGACAGCCATTTGTGAAGGGCTTGAGAAATTAGCATTTTGATGGGAAAACATATGTACTAGGGTCAGAATTTGAATTTTAATACGGAACGCCACTGGGAAGCTACAGAATGATATAAAAACCTCAATAAAATAAAAAAAACATGTACCTGCCCTTTAAGGTGTTGAAGAACAACCAGGCATATAGAGGAGTCTTACTGGAAAGCTACTGGTGGGCCCTTGATTATACAACTGATCTAGCTCCATTCTCTGATGAAGACTGTTGAAAGCTCTGGAAAAAGCTATTAACACTGACTAAAATGTGTTTTTCCTATCTCCCCTAAGGTTTGGAAGGTTCTAAGATCAGGTAGTTGCACCATATTCCTCATGGGTAGCGCAGGTGTAAACCTCTACTCTGCAAATACAAATTTTATTGAATTGGCTTACAGACCACCACCTGATCACAGGCAGCAAACACACCTGAGTGAAGCCAGCTGCGGAAGGTGAGGCTGCAGTTTTGCTTGTCGAATGGAAAGGCGTACATCTCCAGGCTGCAGGCCAGCACCACCTGCATGGGTCGGTAGTACTTCACTGAGCCAGAGGAGTTGACGTATACATAGGGGATCGGTAGGGACTTCCCCTCGTCCACACTGGGAACACACATAGAGGAGGGGGGGACAACAGGACATAGACCGGTCAGGCTGTAGTGGCCATTTGGAGGGCCAAGTGCTATGAATGATCACATGTGTATGGCCTCTGTGGAAGTTTACTTTCAATTAGATTTAATGAGAAGTGAATTATAATTATCACAAATACCATAGGACAGAAGCAGGAGAATATCAATAAGAGGGACGATTACACAATTTCTTATATAACCATTTTAATCCACGTCCAATAGTTAGCCATGTTATGGGACCAGAATGTGTTTTTTGGCCGTTTTAGACCATTTACTATAAATCATGCAGGCAACGTAACATTATTGCTGAATATTTTTCAATGCATTCTGAAGTGTTTTTCTTTTCTGTGGTTGAAGGCATTATGTTTTCAGGCTGTC